GCCCTCTTCCACTCTCATTCAAACATCCACCTCACCTTCATATCTCTCGCGTTTTACAAACAAAAACATTCCACATGCAAACAGAGAGAGAGAGAGAGAGATAGATACATACTGTGGATGGAAAAAGTATACATATTTATTTACATTGTGGAACTGCTGGAATGAAGTGTTATAGCGTACCTACATACATATGTATTTCTATGCTTCTCTTGTTGACTCTAACAAGCTCGAAATATATAACCATGAATGTACATATATAGATACATACATATGTGTAATTTTCGTTGTCACAGAAATCTTTTTCATTTGTTTCGAAATCTTAGCAGCCACAACCTAGGTCAACATTAATATGTGCTAACATTGAACTGGAGTCCAAATAAATGAAACACTCTTACACAAACTAAAGCCCAACTATAGATACATGTGTACATATGTATGTATGTACATAGGTGACACTCCTGGATAAACTTGATATTGATAGGGTTCGTTTACAGACTTTTGTCGTCCACTGTGTATAACAACCTTATGCAAGATTGTTGTTTGTTTTTTCAGGTTTTTGACTGTTTGTCAATTGTCAATGTTTGGAGTGTTCTAGATCAGTAGCTTGCATTCGAAACAGACTAAGACCTAATCGCTAAGAATGTGATGCGCTGTAGCAGAGACTCCGACGTGACTAATGGGGCATCCTCATCACCCCCGCTCACAGTATTGCAAATACATACATATGTACGCTTGTATTTTGTCGTAGAAATATCAAAAATAAATTTGATGGCAACCGCCGCCCGGCAACACAATCGCTGGCACCATGACAATGAGTTTTTGACCAGCTCTCCGGACTTTGTTTTGGTATAAATCTGTGGCACGCGTTGGTCAAATGCATATACCGTTCTTGATTATTATAAACTTTTGTTTTTCTTATTATGACCCTCTTACTAATGCGTCCTCTGCTATATATGTATAATTCGGGAGTGTAAATTCAGATAAACAACATTCGCCATCTCGGAAACACTCGCACACTGGCATAAGTTCAGTAACATACATACATATTTACGTATTTACATCAAATTTTGTGTACACTCGGTGGGAAGAGGTAGTACCTGGGTGCAATGGTTACGATATAAATAAATATGAAAATGCTCTCATTTGGCACAATATTTCTTTTTATATATGTACATACGTATACTAAATGCATTTTTACAGATTTTATATTCCAGCAGACAAGGGTTGGGGGTTGGGTTGGGGAGGGAGAAATCCAATGCAGTGAGAGAGAGAGAGAGAGGAAGAACAAGACGCATGGCCTTTATTTATCAGGCAGCCAGTGCGTGCTCAACATCAGTTGTTCTTGTGCTCGCAGGTTATATTATGCAAAAGGTATGGCAATTACTTAAATTGTAACCGGTGATTCAGATTCTTTGAATCAAATACTCTCATATTCTCCGGACAAATATTCATATTTTATCTCATATATAAATTCTACAAACAGCAGTACCCTAATACGTCTTACATCACCTTCTGTTTAATATACCCTTGGCCGGCCTGTTTGCTTTTTAGCGGCCGCTCCGGCGCATTCGAGTGAGTTGTTCTTTGGAAGAGCGCTGGTCAAGACGCGAAAATCTGAACAAAGTGCAGCAAAGAGAAAGATCCGTCTAACAATATTTTTAAAAGTGTTAAAGCAAAGTGTTAGTTGTAATTTACAAGATTGTGCTACATTGAGATACATACATACATATAAACACAGAAGTAACTATAAACGCACAAAAGCGAAGAGAAGCATACAGAATGCCGGTCGATATCTGCAGTCTACCACACAATTTGCATAGTTCAAGAAGGTAAACTAAACGTGCATACATACATACATATGTACATAAAGCTAATTTATGGCTCAATGAAAGCGGCAGGAACGAAATATTGGGAAATTTCGACTATCTCGGTGCGACTTGGCGATGGGTCGATTATCCCATTCAGTCATTCTTATCTCTCTGGCATATCTGGAATATCCACTAATTGGCGAGCCAGCCGAGGCAATATAAAAACTAGCGGCAAACAAATTTTATCTTTTTTATGAGCAATTATTTTTCCACCGCTGGCCATATATTAAGCAAATCTAATGAGATTTGGCGTCATCCGATAATTGAAGTGTTTTCAAGTCATTGAGGTGAAGGGATCCATATCGAACAGGAATTGCTGTTCCGAATGCTCAATAAATAACAAATATTTATCTATGAAAGCCTGCCCACTTGGCCTTACAGATACGCCTTAGCTGGCGCACCCGATTCACGAAAAAAGAAACAAAGTTACATACGTGAATATTATTTACATGGGAAACGCTGAAATGTTGTTGGCATTGAAAATCTAGAATGATCGTTTGTTTGTGTTGTGTTTGAGTATGGGAAATCGGACGTAGAGTACAAGTTTTTGATAGCATATCAAGTTCTGCTGGGAATGCGATTTATAGCCAGTCCTACCAATTAGATAAAGACTTTATCCACTCGAAATCTGGAATCGGGAATTTTTGAATCTATGAATCTTTTCTATTGGGGATTGGGAAACGCTGAAATGTTGTTGGCATTGAAATCTAGAATGATCGTTTGTTTGTGTTGTGTTTGAGTATGGGAAATCGGACGTAGAGTACAAGTTTTTGATAGCATATCAAGTTCTGCTGGGAATGCGATTTATAGCCAGTCCTACCAATTAGATAAAGACTTTATCCACTCGAAATCTGGAATCTTGAATTTTTTAATCTATGAATCTTTTCTATTGGGGACAATACAGATACTAGATGATTTTTGTTTATGAGGTTAACATAATGTATCCTTTGTGTATTTTCAGCGGAACAACAGATACCTCGCTGTCGTTGAAGTCATTATCCCTGACGTCTGCTCTGCCGCCGACCGATACAGATCTTCATCATACAACACACAACATGAACAAATTGTGTCGCCAAGTGTCAATTGAGTCGCCCGGTCCGGGGGCTAAAAACTGCGTCTTCAACTTTTTTGTGCCCATCGAGGACACGCCAGCACTGGGTGCTCGGATCAGGATTGTGTGCGCCGGCGCGTGCTATCGTCGTCGGGATCGCTCCAATTCTATAACCAGCATGTCGTCAGTGTCCTCGGATTTGAGTGACTACTGTCCGTCGGTGAATTCGATGTCGTCGCCCGCTCACCAGGGCATCCGAGAGGGCTCGTTCTTTCCGGGCTTCGAGGTGGCTGGCGTAATTGAGGCCCTTGGCTCAGAGGTCACTGAGGCGAACAACTGCGGCCTGCGTATTGGACAGCGCGTTATTGTCTATCCGTTCGATGAGACCCCGGCCGGCTATGCCGAACTGCTGGTGGTGCCCGATTTGAAGCACATCGTGCCCATACCCGACAACCTGCCCATGGAAGTGGCAGCTATGCTGCCTACGGGCGCCCTATTGGCCATGAACGCCGTTTTCAAGGCCCAAGCGGTGGTCACACAGATCCTCGCTGAGCGCGCAAGCTCTGATCAAAACAAGAAGTGCAAAATCCTAATTGTCGGAACTGGCGGCCTTGCACTGTGGGCCGTGCGTATCGCCTCCTATCATTTTGCCTTGGCTGGCGCCGATAATGTGGACATCACAGTGGCCAGTCTTCGGGACGAGGGCTTCCGCTTGGCCACAGAGATCAAGAAGTAAGTGAAAACCTCTTGTCCTGCCCCAGGCGGATTACTAATGTACAAATTCGTTGTCTTTCCCCTTGTAGTGTCAGCGTTGTGCAGTGGAATGAATGCTTGTATGAGCCACAGCTTATTGAGCGCACCAAGGATGTGTGCGGTGGGGCTGTCGATGTGGTGATTGACTTTGGTACAACATCCAGAAGTCTCCATCGCTCCATGCACTGCCTATCCAAGGGCGGTGTTGTCTTGATCAGCGACGAGGTGGCCGAGAAGTTGCTACCCAAGTTCTCAAGGCTGTCGAACGAGTACCAGCAGGAGATAACGCCAATTTCAAATGGCACCGCCGAACAGCTGGCGGAACTGGTGGAGCTGGTGGCCAACAAAAAGATTGAGCCGCCGCCACACTCAGTGTTCCCCTGTGAACAGGCCGCCGAGGTTATCCAGAAGCTGTGTAACTCGGAAATACCAGGACGCGCCATTCTTCGCTTCCACGACATAGAATAGACAAAGGCGCGGAGGCCAAGGCATATTTTCTGCTATCAAAAAACATTAACATTAACTCATTCAATATCGATATCTGTTAGATGTATTCAAGTGACACACAGCCACAAAACAACAACCAGCAACCTGCAACATGCAACACTCTCGAGGCGAATTCAATTGTGCTTAATTTGTTTGTTGGCCTGGCCCTTGTTTTGGTACCTTTATTTTGGACTGTAGCCATACCAGTGATGCTTCTCCTCGTCTCGTTTCGTTTCATTGATTTAGAGTTTTAAGCATTTCGAGTATTATTGTGTGTACATATATATAGATTGTGATTTATTTTATTTGTAAGCAAACCAAACCAAACCAAACCCGAAATCTTGCTTGTACTTTGGCGCATTGTATGCGTACAGATCATCCAAAATTAGCACCCAGCATTCAGTAGTAGTCGGATAATATTCTTTAATGATTTATTACGTACAAGACCCAAAGCAGAAGCGGATTACACAATAAATGTTATAAATATTATACACAAAATTGTTACGCATGCGATGCAAAATGTTTGATTCAATTGCTTGATGTTTATACTCATTACGTACATACGTACCCAAAACAACATTATACTCTACTCTTATTCATAAATAAAAGCATACCAATTACCAATGCACAAGCTTCTCTGGCAGCCCATATATATGTAGCATAGCCCCATGATGCCATGGTGACAATGATGGCCACATGTCCATGTTGGCTACTGCACTTCAGCTGCCTCTGACTTCTGGTGCAGCCGTCTAGCAGTTTCTACTGTGTTAGTTATTTACTATTTATCCGACAGCACATCATACAAGGGGCTCATTGACTTGTATGTCATATACATATACGGATACGGCTGTATACGGATACGGATAAACAACTATTATAGACGGGATCATGCAAGATCGCCGCCGGAGACTTCGGGCCTACCGCAAGTCCCGTAGAAAATTCTCTTGCATTGTCTATACGATAACAACGGTTTGGATGGTGTTGGCCCTAATCCAGTGGCTGGCTGTCTGCTTTGTGTGAGTTTGGTTGAAATTTAGTCCAGCGGTGGCGTTGTACCGTTGCATTGTAATCTTCAGCATAGAATTTCGCGAGACCATCAACTTGTATTATTGGATAAGTTTTGTATGCTTTATTTGTGCTATGATTTTCTTCACGATGTTCATATTCTTTGAGGGGCTGCGATTCGTGATTTGCCTAAACTGGCTGATCTGCATACTGATTGTGAGTAATTACTGTCCGTGCTGTTGAGTTTTCTCATGTTTAACCCCCCCGCTTAGGTGGAGTCTCTGATCATCGGACTATTTGCCCTATCGGCCCAAACGGATTGGAAAAACTTACTCATATGGTTCTTGGTCTGTGTGACATTCATATATCTTTTCATACTAATCGGATCTGTTTTACCGGTAAATATTTGTTGCGTTTAGCCAATCTGTAACCGTCGATGTCGATAAAATAATCTTTCATAGCAAGACCTTACCCTGAATGTGGTAATTCTGTTTGTGGTGGCCTTCCTATTCCTCTCTGTCACCGTCTTCATGAGTATGATGCACAAAATTATGCATGTGCCGTATTCGTTCTACGCTTATATGATTTTAATTGGGCTCATTGTGCTTATGGTAGGTCTAGGTCTCATCCCCTTGGAACAAGCCGTCTCTTATCCTTGTCCTTCTCAGTTCGTGATGTACCATGCCCAGACAATCAATGGCGGCCGCTTTGCGGAGATGCGCATCCAAGACTACCTGCTAGCATCTCTTATCCTCTTCAACGACTTCATCATCCTCTATATGTTAACCATCTACCCACAGGTCTTTCACAAAATAGAGTCACCTCCATCTCCGTCCACCACAACCTATATAGATAATTACGATGGCAACGGTTACGAAGACGATGACATTGATGAACCTGCTCCAGTCGAAAATCCCACTAGAAAACCCCAAACCACTGACTCGCGCACGATCGCACAACCCAAAAGCACTACAAAGAGGAGACGTAAAAAAAAAACTACAGTTCCGGTAATTTGGGGTTGAGTGGACCAAAGGTTGTGAAGCGAGGAAGGCAGGAAGGTTTTGCTATGTGCAGACAACACACACAAAATAAAACAACAAATGAACTCGCAGATTACAGCGAGCATTGCAAAATATTTTTTTCTTGGGCTCACGCGAATATATTCTTGGATATATCCAGGTGCTTCTCTTCTGCATTAATTACGTATCAACTTCATTGGATTGGATTTGAATTCAAACGTTTTATTCAAATACAGCTGGACAGTGCTGTAAAATGGCTGGAAACGACACGATGAACAGTACTGGAAAGCAGGGCCAGGGCTGCAAGACCATCGATGTTATCGATACAAAAATATCGATATTATTCGCTCTCGTGGTGGCTTTTCAAAATTAGCTCTCTTTTCCGAGGTGAAACCTTTTTGGAACTTGTCCATTGTACAAATTAGATGCCACCTGTCGATTTGTTTACAAATTTGTCTTCGTATTTTATAGCAGCATTAGAGCAACCCAAACATATTAAAAGCGCAACAACTGTAGCTCTATACTATCATGATAGTCGCAAAACAGTCGATGGTCGATACTATCGATAGTGCCCTCGATGGTTTGACACCTCCACAACCTAACCTATTTTAAATAGCTGACGATGTTATCGATACAAAAATTGCGCCAAAACGAATCAACGCAAAGGGAAGGGCACGAAAAAATTAACTCAACCTATTTTAAATTGCTGACGAAGGAGAATTTCTGAACTAAAACAGCTCGCTCGACTCTACACAACGCTATGGTTAACAAAGAAAATGCGATTAGTTGTTGCCAGCAGGTGAAGTGGATCGGTAGCCACGACCCCAGCAAGTTTGTGAAAAATCTGGAGCACAAAAACGTGTACTTCTACGAGAAGTGCATTTACGGCCCATTGACACTAGCAGTGGGCGACTACATATTGGTATCGAATGCAGATGCGGCAGAGCCAGATACGGTGGATGGTTGTGATGTGGCCAAGATCCTTCATCTGTACGAGCTTCGCGAAATGACCCACAAAGAGACCTGTCGCGCAATCGTCCAGTGGTACTCACGCCCAAGCGCCATTCCGCATAAGGAATTTGATGCAGATGATATTGCCATTGACTTTGGCGTGGAAGTGATCGAAGAGCATCGTCCCTACGACAACGACGTGGCCTTGGGGGCCATTTACCGAAAGTGTCTGGTACTGGAAAACACATCACAACTCTCTGCCGAGCAGATAGTGCAACGCGCTTCGGGAAAACTGAAATCCACTGGCTGCCCCATGTTTGTGAGCCGATACAAGTTCATCAAGGTGAAGAAGCATTATCGCCTGATACCCCTGGAGATACAGCTGGACGAGCCCGATGACAAATCATCATCCCGGGCACGGAAATCGGTGTCAAGGCGCAATGAAACCAAAACAGGATCAGCATCAGCGCGAAAAGCCAAGTTGTTGGCTGTTGCTGGGGAAGCAGCCACCACGGAGAAGCGCAGACGGGCCTCGATGGCCGCGGCCAGTTCGCTGGAGTTTGTTGATGTCAATTACTTTAGCTGCGAGAACAAAGTGTCGCCCATCAAGATAGTTGGGGGACGCAGCGTGGTGCGGCTGTCGGAGAAGAAAAAGAGCTCCGCCACTGAGGCAGAGATTAATGCCAACTATCTGACGGCTTCCCCGCTGACCGAAAAGAACGCAAAGGTGGAGACGCCCAAGTCCCGGGCGTCGGCTGCACGCCGCAACCTGAATCTCAGTCTGGACAGAGGCGCTGACACCACGGCGGACTCGGACTGCCTGAACTATTCAATAGTGCAGCAGACGCCTGACCCGAGGACACCATCAAATGATATGAAAATCAAACTGCGCATCTCGGAGCGAAGAAAGTCTGTGCGCCTCTCATCGATAGACCACGATCCCCTAGCCGTTGACGATGCCAAAGGCACACCAACCACACAGGGACGCAAGCGAATTGGTGTCAGCAATGGGGACATTTATCACACTCCCACCAAGAAAGCGAGGGAACCGCTGGACAGCAATGCCGGCGCACAGCTGACGCCCTCGACGCGACGGAAGAGCATCCTTAAGTCGGCCACTAGTCGATTGGGTAAGTCGGAAGATAGTCCCCTCTTGGGAGACCCACGTTAATCTCTGCTCCACTTCAGCTGAAGGCACACCCAGACGAAGCATCCAGCTATCCAACATTGTGGAGCAGCGTGTGTTCAAAGACGACGAAATAATATCCACCCCCAAAAGAGGTCGTAAGAAGATGTCCACTGAGGACGTGGATGCGGACTACTCGCCAAGCAAATCTGTTCAGAAAACGCCCACCCGAGCCCGACGTACAAGTGCCGCTGCCAAGTCGGCAGCGACCCCGACTCATGGCAATGCAGCAACTAAAGCTACAGCTGCACCGATAACACCTTCGCAAAAGCTAAAGAAGATCCGCTCCGGCGAACTAAGTCCCAGCATGCAGCAGCGATCGGGCAAGCCCGTGGATAACTCTCGCAAGTCCCAGCTGCAGCTGGCACGTGAGCAGCTCCACGTCTCTGTTGTGCCCAAGAGCCTGCCGTGTCGCGAAAAGGAGTTTGAGAACATCTACAGTTTCCTGGAAGGCAAGATTCAGGACCAGTGCGGTGGCTGCATGTATGTGTCTGGGGTTCCCGGCACTGGAAAGACGGCCACTGTCACAGGAGTCATTCGCACTCTGCAGCGCCTGGTGGCGCAGGACAAGCTGCCCTCCTTTGACTTTCTTGAGATTAACGGAATGCGGCTCACCGAGCCGCGCCAGGCCTATGTCCAGATATACAAACAGCTTACGGGCAAGACTGTGTCCTGGGAGCACGCCCACACGCTGCTGGAGAAGCGATTCACCACACCGGCGCCGAGGCGCGTGACCACAGTATTGCTAGTCGATGAGCTGGACATCTTGTGCAACAGGCGCCAGGATGTGGTCTACAATCTGCTGGATTGGCCAACCAAATCGGCTGCCCGACTGGTTGTGGTCACAATAGCCAACACAATGGATCTCCCCGAACGCCTGCTAATGGGTAAGATACCAATCCTCTACAGCCATCAAGCGGTTCCACTACAGCGCTTCCACTCTTGGCAATTTTCTAGGCAAAGTAACTTCCCGACTGGGACTCACTCGCCTCACGTTCCAACCATACACACACAAACAGCTGCAGGAAATAGTCACCGCCCGCCTGGGCGGCTCAGAGGCGTTCAAGGGCGAGGCTGTTCAGCTGGTGGCGCGCAAGGTGGCCGCAGTGTCGGGTGATGCTCGTCGTGCGCTGGATATTTGCCGTCGGGCCACGGAAATAGCTGACACGGCACTGGATAAGTGTGTGACAATGCTGCACGTGCAGCAGGCGCTGGGCGAGATGATAGCGAGCGCAAAGGTGCAGGCCATAAAGAACTGCTCGCGTCTGGAGCAGATCTTCCTGCAAGCTGTGGCCGCCGAGGTCACACGCACTGGTGTCGAGGAGTCCACCTTCATGGGTGTGTACACCCAGGTGGAGACAATAGCAGCGTTCATGGGCGTCTCGCTGCCACCGCCAGGTCGAGCCCTGCGGCTCTGCGCCAAGCTGGGGGCCGAGCGCCTCATCATAAGCGAGCACTCGCGCAACGATCTCTTTCAGAAAATTCTGCTGAACGTCAGCGCTGACGATATCCACTATGCCCTCCGTGTGGGAGAGGTTGCGGCAGCCAACTGAACATCATTCATATTCGTATTCCTTACATAGACAATTTCATAGCTCACTATTTATCCATTAAGCGTTTTAAAAGTTGTAAATGTAATTAAATGTAGTATTTAAGCGTCCCGTTTAAACAATTTAAAGTACAAACTCGTTATTAAAAATACAAAATAGAACACCAACACCGTGTAACAGTCGTAAAGCACCTTCGGCGAGAAGACGGAATAGATAAAGAGGTGGTAGCGGAAGCCAACCATTAGGCAGAGGTAGAAGGCTGCCGGCAGCATGACCAGGCTGGCATAGAGGGGCGCTATCAGCGAGTCTGCGGCAATCGAATAAGGCGGCTGCAGCTGCATGATGCCCACACTGCGCAGATCGGAACGGAGCGTGTGCACAATAAGGTAGAGGAAGGAATGTATTTCCGCGCTGTATGTGTTGAGGGTGACGAACAGACCGACAATGGCCGGATTGTAGCTCGTCTGGCCTATGTAGCCCGGTGTCAGGTCAATGGTCGAGAGGCTGTTCGAGTTGCCCTGGTAGAAATAGAACATTCTGGCCACGAATATGGTCATGATGATCTTGTATACGTGCACCAGACGTACGGAGAACTTCCGGGCACTGGTGCCAAAGGCATCGCATAGCTTGTACGTCTCGTCCAGTGCTATGAGGAGTGTAGGCAGGAGTATGATGTTCTGCACCTTCTGCAGCAAAGCCGCCAGCAGTAGGGAGCTGGTCAGATTGGCCTGTAGCAGCTGCAGCAGAACGCTTTTCGGCGGCATCGGCATCTCACCGAAGCTTTTATCTGAACAAATTTGTGGCAGCGCCGCCCGATAACCCAGCACCAAGACCAGTGCAAGGCAGCACCAGAAGATCACCAGAGTGGGGACCATGAAGCGAGATCTGTAAAACATTAAACGATTAGTGGGGAAGTTCATTTGACTTGCAGATAGATTTGGGCATACGTCAGGTACGAGGGCAGCTCAAAGAACTGCACTTGACCGTTGAGACCGCGATAGCAGTAGACCACAAAGCATGCCGCTGCACTCGCACAGGTCTGCGGCAGTTGGGCAAACTTGCGCAGGCGTGCCCAAAGCAGCATCAGCGAGAACAGCATTAGGGTGCTGCGGATGGCATGGAACCTATGCAGGTAACGCATGAGCGTGAGCAGAATGAGCACCACAAAAATCTTGCGCTGTTGCCACAGACATGCAGAGGCAATCTTGTGCAAGTGGCGCCCGTCAAGCTCAACATTGGCCTTGGTGATGCGTCGCCGCAAAGTCCTGAGCGCGGTCAGCAGGATGAGAGTGTTGCCCAAGTAGTACCAGGTCTTGTACTCGAACTCTATGAATGACGAGGAACCCAGCGTGAAGGTGCGGATGGCAAAGCATATGAGCAGGGGCAGCGGCAGTGGAATGGAGAGCCTCAGGCGACGAGTGTATACAGGTGGCAGGGCTATCTTCAGCAGAGCCTGCGCTACATCGAATGCTAGATAAATGGACAGGGCTAGGGGCACGACGAGTAGGATGCCATAAAGCAATGAGCTTGTGAAGATTATATCGAACACATGGCTGGCCACGTTGACCAGAGCAGCCACAGCCAGACAGATCAGCAACTGCCCCGCCTTCAGGCTGTCCAATTGCAGCTGCTCCGTTTGGTCCAAGAACAGGACGCTAAGCACGATGTGAAGGGATGTCTGAAAAACTATTGTTAACGGATGCTGCACATTGAAATTAATTCCAAGTACTTACAGCGGTGGTGAGCGACAGTCCCAAGACGATGAATCCGTAGTCAAACTTTACCAGCGACTCAGAGAGGAGACCGGAAATCACGCGCGCCACACGTATGTAATTCAACTTGGCGTTCTGATAGAGCACCTGGCTGGTCCCGCTGCCATCCCCATCCCGCAGCGGCAACAGTAGCTGTCTGTGCAGCAGAGTCGCGTTCTGATACCAGGTGTAGTAATCTAAAAATATTCTATAGCTTGATCAGAGGAGGATATAGGCAGGATGGATGTTGCAGCATACACACCGCTGCGGCGCACTATTTCATGGCCGAACTTTACTCTGGCCTTGTTCAGCAGGTGATGGGCGTTGTAAAAGTAGGCGTACATCTCGTGCTCCAATGACAATGACTGCAGCATCTCCGGTATCAGGCAGCCAATGGACAGGGAAGGTATCTCCACAGAGAGCAGCACAGCCAAGGTGGGTGCCAAGTCGATCTGGTTATATCGCTTAGTGCCAGCACTGAAAAAAGTTTAAGATAGGATCAACAGTGGCCAAATAAATGTACGTTAAGTGGCTTGCCTCGGCCTGGAGCAGTTCTTCGAATACAAATACAGCGGCACCAGAGTCTCTGCTGGCGTATTGCCTCCATGCCCGCCGCCTTCAGCCATGCCATGATCGCCAGTCAGCAGGACCAGATAGTTTGGAAAATTCTGCGGATGTTCAAAATATTTCGACCTAGCAAAAATCATGGACTTTTCGTATTGCTCACTCTATGGTCCAGTATCTTTTGAACAGCTTCGTCCATTTCCTTCAGTTTGTGTTGCACCTTTGGACTGGCATTGCCCTCGACATGGCCAATGTGGTCCAAGCCTAGATAGTGCAGTATTAGCAAGGACCAGTCATTCATCTCGAGCTCTGACTCTAGCACTTTCGTCACATTTCGGTCGCCCTGCGCCATATGAATATTGAATGTCCGATGGTCATATATGTTGCTATCAAGTGCTCACCTCGTAAAAATCGTTCACAAAAAAGGAATCGTTGTTCTCCGCATGCCGGGTAAACTCGCTGGGAAACAGGTTTATCCACGTATGGTCACCTGCAAAGGACACGACGCGCTTCCGCTGCTTGAGCCGATGCAGCAGTGAATCCTCCAACTGCTCCGTGTGGCCCACATTGAGCGCTATGTCGATAAAGTTGGACAGTGTGCCGGTGGTAATGCTCTTCAGTCGTGGCATCGTCACCGTTGGTATGTCCACGTGAAGCGTCAACTTTTCGCAGGCCCTGGAAAATGCCACCGGCATGGACGTGGCACTGGGAAAGTCTTCGCGCAAAGCATCCACAAGGAATAGTATTAAGGAGTCGTAGCTCGTTGGCGGCGGTTCAAGCCTGAAAAGAGAACACGTTATCATATTGTTATATATAGTCGCGTGCCCACACCGATAAGGTGCACCTACTTCACGCCGTGGAGCGTTGTTGGCCGGTCATTGGGTATGCTTTTTTCTTCCTCCGAAGCCGAATAAGACGCTGGAAAGAATCCAATGAGGAAGAGCACCGCTCCGCAGATGAACAGTGTTAGCATGCAGAGCGTGTACCCCATCCGACTCTTGTGGTGCTCCATATCGCTTTTTGCATTGGAAATTTTCCCGTTTTCCTGCCAGCAAACCAGAAAGTGCCGCCTGTCAGAGTCAGAACAGAAGATAAACAAAGCGCTATCGTTATCGATTGTATTTAATTCGATTCGCAGCAGCTGATCGGGATGTAAACAATTGGATTGCTATTTTTGTTTTGTTTGATTTTACAAAAATGGAAACTTGCGGGCATATCTATGTGAGCAGAGACTACAAAACGTTTCTGATGCGATGCTCGTATTGCCCCACAGACGTTGAGGTGGACAAGTGGCAGGAATTTGTGGTGCACTATCGCAATATGCACGGCGCCTTGGAATTGGTTGCCGAACACAGTGCGGACAGAATGGACATGGACATGGACGCCAGGTCCAGCATGAAAGCAGAGTTTCTGGATGAAGATTACCACGATGACGAAGCTTCCGAGGAGGAAGGTGAAAACGAGGACGAGAAGGAGCAACTAGAAGCTGTGCTGCCTCAAGATAATGAAGTGGAGGATGGCACAAAAATTGAGTTGGAAATCGAGGCTGTCACCTCGCAGACAGTCTCTTCTGTGGACGAGTCGGATTCGGAGGCAAGTCAAACCGAGTATGTGGAAACGGACATGGAGGCTGAATCGAATAGGTCTGTAGAAAACGAAGATGCATCTGCACTGGCTACGCCCATATACAAGGTACGTAATAATTAATATTGATATAGACTATGACTAACCAACTCCCATCTTGATGTATCAGTTTCACCCATCGTTCTTTCGCCGGGACCCTCGGACACTGAAGTTTATTGAGTTGTACAAGGAACACCCCTGCCTTTGGAACCCTGGACATGGCCGCTTCAAGGAGCCTAGTGCGTGCAAGGACGCCTATCGGAAGATGATTACTGACTTGGAGGCAAAGGCAGCGATGTTTTTAAATGAAATCTCGCTAAAAGCGGCCATAAGAAAGATGCACCTGCAATACAACACCGTTCACAAGCGAGTGCTCTGTGGCACCCAGAAGGCGCATTCGGTAGCCTTTAGCCATTACACTGTCTGTAGCTTTTTACAAGACTGCGAGGTTCAGAGAGACTTGTATAAAAACGAAAAAATACAGGCAAGAATTAATCTGCATGCATCTGCATACACTGTAAACAAGTGCTGATGGCATTTATTTTTTTACAGCTGGACTTTACCAGGAAAAATAAGCTGACCACCGAGCTAATAGAGCAATACGCCAACTTTCCGCAACTCTATGATCAGAGTCACCGCGAGTTCTCCAGCATGACTTCCCGCAAGCAGGCCTACGAGAGCTTGGCTGTCGAAATCTCAGTGCCGAATGTGGATATCAACAGCGATGATATCTTTCGCGCCATCCAAAACCTACGACAATGGTACTACAAGAGCACAAAAAATGCCATCAACGCCGGCAACGAGGCGGAGCAGTTTTATTTGAAAGTCTGTCAGTTCTTGCCTCCGAAAATGTTCAAGCAGAGGCTTGTTTGTGAAATTTGCCATACAGTCACCTCATCCGATCACGTGCTGCAGTCGCACATCTTCAAGGCCCACAACATTGGCGAGCTGCCCTTCAAGTGCACCCTATGTGATCGGAGCTTCGTTGGACGGGGCGAACTGACCAACCATATGCAACGGGTTCACATTGGCAAGACGCACCAGTGTGGGCACTGCGAGAGGAGTTTTGCCGTCAAGTCGGACTTGCAGTTGCATATCCGTACGCATACTGGCCACAAGCCCTTCGTCTGCGAGCTGTGCGGCAAGGCATTTAGACTGAAGTCGCAGATGAATCTTCATGTCACTGCAATCCACACGAAGGTAAGAGCCTTCAAGTGTACGATGTGTCCCAAGGATTTTGTGAAAAAGGTCGACTTGTCGGATCATATCAAGAGCCATTTGAATATTCGGGACAAAATATGCACAACATGCGGCAAAGGATTTACGAGCTGCCACTCGCTAATCCGCCACCGCCAAATACACTCGGAGGTTAAGAAATTTGTGTGCAAACTGTGCGATGCACGATTTTCGCAATTTGTTGGCCTTAATTCTCACATGAAGCGCACCCATAATATTGTTCGCAACAATTCGCAAAAGGCCACAGACATCGTGGATACTGGAATCAGCTAAAAAGAGAGTTTGAAATGTAATCAATAAAATGTGAATCAAAAATAAACGGCACGGCGGTATATAATTCGAAATCAGAACTCATATATGAATCGATCCATTCGATAAACGATATCGATATCTGCGATTAGCATTTGCACGTTTTGCAGCACTGCTCTGGGGTTAAGTGACAATTGCATCTTTCGTAAATATTACAAACGCGGTGACCGTATAATTGGCTTATTCATAGCATTTGCAAGCCGGCATAATGGAGGTGTGCGGCAGTGTTTTAGTTAGCAACAATTACCAGCAGTTTCGGCTGAAGTGCATATACTGTACAATTGAAAGCGACCTAAAAGACTGGGAGCAGTTTACGTTTCATGTGAGAAATGCCCACTACTTTGAGGATGATGAAAACATTGAGCAAGAGTCAACCATCGAGGGAATGGATCCCACAATCACATATGAAGTTCCTCAAGAGTTGGACGAAGCGGAACACATTGAAGAAGTGCATGACCAGAGTAGCTTGCCATTTCGCATACTCAAAGACGAGGACTGGCCCAACGATGAGACGGATGAGAACGTATGTAAATCACTCGTAATAAGAATCAAATTACTTTAACTTTCTCAAAAATTCGCAGAATATGCAATACGTCGAGGACATTGTTTATGACAATAACAATACAGAAGTCACATATCAGGAAATGGAAACGACCGAAATGGCGCAGGCCTCCTTCGATGAAAATGTGTACGACGGTTTCTTGAGCACTGGTTCTCAGCAGGCTGCAGTATTTGATGATCTAGATAATTTCTCGTATGATGAACAGGAAGAGGAACAGGAAGAAGAGTGGCCAAAAAGATTTGGCCGTCCTCCCAAAAGAACGCGACCTGGACAAGTTCTTAAGGTACGATGCCATTTACCTTTCTTTGGCCCAATACTAATCTGTTAATTCTTGCAGTTAAAGGTTACATTTATTCGACGCAATCCACGCGTGCTACACCTTATCGAAGCTTACAAGGAGCATCCCTGCCTATGGAATCCCTCCGACGAGTACTACGACAATGAGGAAGCACGATCGGAGGCGTACCACCTGATGATACTGCGATTGGACGAGAAAGCCAATGTGCTCTTCACCGAAGAAGAGCTGAGGAAAACCATCCAGCAGCTGCACAGCCAATACACTCTTGCAGCCCAAATGGCTGGCGAAAATAAGCTCATTGGGCTGGCGGCCCGATACTTTGCCAAATGTGATTTCCTCCGTTCCACGCCCTGTACAACCCTAACCGATGACGAGGAAGATATCCAACTGGATACAATTAAGGTGAGTCGGCTAGTTGTGTATTTGTAAAATGTTAATTGATTCCGTTTCAGCTCAACTTCAAAGTGGAGAACGAGGTGACCAGCGCTTTTATAGAAACGTATGCAAACTATCCAATGCTCTACAATACCATGCATACTGATTTTGATTCGGTGGAGGAACGCACAAGAGCCTACAAAAAGTTGGCCAAAGAATTCAGGCCTGTGGTTCTGGCCAACGATACGGATGTTTATATTGCGATCCAAAAGCTGCGGAAATGGGCATACGAAGCCATGAGGCGTATGAAGGCGAAGGAACTGATCAAAGCCTGCAGCTCACAGGAACTGCAGTACCTGCAAATGTGCAGCTTTCTGCCCGTCAAACCGGATGGCCATGTATGGTACTGTGAACACTGCGGAAAGCGATTCCATGGCGACTACAACCTCCGGACGCACATGTTCAAACAGCATAACATGGGTGAGCCGCCCTTCCTCTGCTCCCAGTGCCCCAGGCGCTTCGAAAGACAACATGACATGGAGAAACACATATTGAGAGCGCACTCTGATCGCCAATTTCAATGCAAATTTTGCGAAAAGCTTTTTTCCGTCGAGTGTGATCTGAAAGTGCACCTGAAAGTTCATACCGGCGAGCGCCCATATGTGTGTGAGTTTTGCGGGAAGGGGTTCCGGCTGAAGCTGCTGCTGGATCACCATGTCAATGGTGTCCACCTGAATATACGGCCATTCAAGTGTGATATGTGCGAAAAAAATTTCAGAAAGAAATTTGAACTTATGAATCACCTCAAGGGGCATTTAAATATTCGTGATAAGAAGTGCGACAAATGCGACGCTACGTTCTATGACCATTCTTCGCTATCCCGACATCGTAGATTTAACCATAGAAATAAATTCGAATAGACATCTCATTTTGTTAGTCTCTGGAAAACAGACTTGTATTTAATAAGTCTAAGGAGTTGCATCAAGCTGCCAATGGGGCTTTCTTGTTTCTTGAAATGAAATTAATTTGGCTCTGAATTAAATTATTCAAAATTAGTTTACACACCGCATAAATACAACAACACGCCATACTATGTATCGTCATTAGTTTTTGCCGTTTCCCAGCACTGCTGGACCAGCCCAGCAGCTGTTTACTATGCTGGTTTTTTCTTGTTTACTATTTTATTGTTTGATGTTAGATGTGATTTAATTATGGTGGTTTGTGGAAAGATTCTGGCACGGAGCAATTACGAACATTTCGTATTGAGTTGTGGGCTGAGCAATGACTGTGACGTGCAAATGGAAATTGAGAGATGGAGGGAGTTTGTCCTGCACATTAAGCGGCATAGAGAAGAGGAACAAGGGAGTGACTTTGATGCCAGTGCAAGCAGCGACAATTTCCCAACAGAGACAAATCAGTGTGGGCCGCCTGTGAAGGATGCCGAAGATTGTTTAGCCGAGGGAATGATTGTGGATCTTCCCATGTCATCCGATGAGGAAGATGGCGATGAAGAAGACAGCGCCTCAATGCCGCTTGCATGCAAACTAGAAGGAACACAAACAACAGAATTCTCGCCAATAGTTAAAGTAAGCTGGTGCTTCTGTCACGTTTGCAGGACAAAACATTGATTCAAAACGACCACTTGTTTTATTTTCAGTTTAATCCAACTTTCTACCGACGCAGTCCGCGCATTACCAAATTTATTGAGCTCTATAAAGATCATCCGTGCCTTTGGGATCCTTCAGATGCGTCCTACAAAAACAAAGACAAGCGTACTCATGCATACGAGTCTCTGATGGAGCAGCTGAAGGCGTCTGTCAATATTCATCTGACTATCTATAGACTGAAGAAGTCCATTGCCAGCCTGCACTCTCAGTATGCAGCAATAACGCGGCAAAAGAAGATACAAAAACTGACCAAGGTCCCGCTGTACTATCATGCAAAATACAACTTTCTGGCAGAGCGTGGAAACGTGGAGGAAGGTGACAGCGATGATGATGGCGGCGATGGCAAGATCAAGGTTCGCTTTATTAAAGAGAATATGCGATAATCACTAACAAGTTGCCTTCTTGCAGCTCCTGTTTACGGAAGAAAATGATTTGACGAGTCTGTTTATTAAACTATATTCCAAATTTCCCCATCTGTACGATCCGGCGCACGAGAACTTTTCGAATTTAAGTGAGCGTAAAAACGCTTATATAGAAATTACAGATGTTCTCTCGTCAGAAGTTCCACTGGGAGTCATCACCCACTACGATGTCTACGACAGTATTCTATGCCTACGCCAGTGGTATTCTCGAAAAATGAAGACTCTCACTGAGGCTCAGACGGTCGGCCTTTCGACGGCTGAGAAAGAGTATATTGAGAGTTGCCAGAGCTTTATGCCGTCGAAGACCTTCCGCCAGAAATTACAATGCACAGCTTGCCAAAAAAGTTTCAGCACTGATCATGCGCTGCAGGCTCATCAGTTCAAAGATCACAAGCTGGGCAAAGGTGGATGGTTTAAATGCCCCTTGTGTGAGCTGAATTTCGAGCGAAGGTGCCATCTGCAACAGCATAATCAACGTGTTCACATGAGCAAAACGTTTACCTGCCTCATGTGCAGTCGAAGCTTCGCGTTTGCCAGCCAACTGGCCATACACAAACGCTCCCATGATGATGAAAAACATGTCGCAAAGCCGTACATTTGCGAATTTTGTGGAAAATCTTTCAGACAGAAGATTCAGCTGACCACTCATGTAACCGCCGTGCACACAAAAATTCGTGCATTCAAGTGCACAATGTGCCCCAAAGACTTTTTTACTAAGCGCGATCTCAAGGATCACGTTAAGGCGCATTTAAATATACGCGACAAGGTATGCGATGTCTGTCAGAAAGCCTTCACAAACGCCAACGCCCTCGTCAAGCATCGGCACATTCACCGGGAGAAGACCCTGCAGTGCACTCTCTGCAGCACCCGTTTTTCCGAGCGGGTTAGCTTGGGTGTTCACATGAGACGCACGCACAAGATTATTAAAAACACTTTGAAAGGGGCTGAGACTACCAACGACGCCCTACTTAAACACACATTCCCACAATCTCAAGACATTTCCGACAAATAAAATACATTTTGAAATTGCAATTTGTTGGAGTTTATTCCAACGGTCCATAAGTGCGGGGGCATTGTACAACACTGCATGAACAGCTGCTTCTGTTTTGATTGAGCAGACACGTTACGTCGATTCCGTTTCGTTTTGCCAGTTTGAGATGAGAGGATTTCTTCCGAAGTTGCTGCACCAATGTGATGCTGTTCTTCGGCAGACAGTCTCCAGGAAGCATGCTGTCAAGGGAATCAGCAGCAGCTGGAGCTGGAGGAGCAGCCGCCACTTGGCCACCAGTGGCAGTCTGAACCCGGCGACTAAATTACGTGAAAGACCGCACTGTAATGTGGGAACTATTGGTCACGTAGATCATGGGAAAACGACGCTTACTGCTGCCATTACCAAAATCCAGTCCAATAAAGGACTGGCTGAATACTGCTCTTACGACCAAATCGACCGGGCGCCAGAGGAAAAGGCTCGCGGCATAACCATAAACGCGTGTCACATTGGCTACGCCACCACGGAGCGTACCTACGCCCACACCGATTGTCCGGGCCATGCGGATTACATAAAGGTGAACTGACCTGACCCAACTCGAATCTAACTAACTAGCAGCTAACTTTTCTTCTCTATGGGATGTAGAACATGATCTCAGGAGCTTCCCAAATGGATGGTGCAATCCTGGTTGTGGCGGCGACGGACGGACAAATGCCCCAAACCCGCGAACATTTGCTGCTGGCTAAGCAAGTGGGCATCCAGCGCATTGTAGTGTTTATCAACAAGGCCGATCTAGTGGACCAGGAAGTATTGGAGCTGGTGGAGATCGAGATGCGCGAGATGTTGAGTGACTTTGGCTTTGATGGCGTCAACAGTCCAGTCATTTGTGGCTCGGCCCTTTTGGCGCTCCGCGAAGATCAATCGGAGTTTGGGGTGCCGGCTATTGAGAAGCTATTGCAGCATTGTGACACCTATATACCCACACCACAGCGCGATGTGAAGGCTCCATTCATCCTGCCAATTGACAATGCATTTACTGTTCCAGGACGTGGCACAGTGGTGGTGGGAACCATCAAGCGGGGCACCATTCTGCGCAATGCCGATGCAGATCTGCTGGGCTTCAATCAGAACCTGAAGACGAGCGTCAGTGACATACAGATCTTCCGCAAGAGCGTACCCCAGGCCCTGGCCGGCGATAATGTGGGTGCCCTTCTGCGGGGCATTAAAATTTCCGCCGTGGAGCGAGGCATGCTGCTCTGTGCATCGGGCTCAGAGGATGTGTCCAACCACTTCGAGGGCTCCATGTACTTGCTGTCGCGTGCCGAGGGTGGCCGGTTCAAGCCGATGCTCTCAAAGTACATTCAGCAACTGTTCAGTATGACGTGGAATGTCCCAGCGCGCATTGACATGGGTGAGGAGGAGCTTTATTATTATTTTTCTAAGTTTTTCCCAATTGCCAACTAATAACTAAAAACTAATCTTTCAGTGCCCAACGAGGCCATGCTAATGCCGGGCGAGCACGGTCAGATTCGCGTTACGTTGCTGCGCAAAATGGTCATGACACCGGGCCAGGCATTCACCATTCGCGAGAATGGAGCAACTGTGGCCACGGGCATGATAACTCAGCGATTGCCCTCCCTCGATCTGCCCAAGAACAAATTGTCGAAGGCAGTGGTCCCATGCTGAGGGGCTTCCTGCCTCTATAGTTTTGTACACATTTATATATTGTATTTTATTTTATTGTACACGCGCTTCTATTTAGTTGTTATACATATGTAATCGTATGTATGTATGTATGTGTATAAGTAGGGGTAAATACTTATTATAAATATGCATGTAGTTCAAAGAAATGCCAACGTATTTTTAATCTGCTAATCTTGTCCAGTAACGGATCAACCAGATCAGCAATGGCGACAGTTGAGAATACACAAACTAGAAATTACAAACTACACATAAAATGAGAGCATACATAAATAAATAGAGTACAGCAAAGTTTCGGTGTTCATCATGAGTCTTATCCTAACATCTGTGTGGTCTCTTCTCTATTGCAAGCCACACACGCGCACGCGCACACATTAAGGCATTGCTTGAGTAAATTCATGCTGTATACTTTAGATTTGTTTTAAGGTACAAGGCTGTGGCAAGGACTGCACTTCTTTAAGGTTGGAGGGAGTCTTACTCCCCGCACTTATTGCATTTCACAATTTGCATTACGATCGGTTCAGAACCTCTCATCACTTTCACTACAAAACAATTCGTATAATAATAGCCTAGGCCTTGCAATCTTCGGTGGATGCCAGGAGGGAACTTGGAATGGATTTGGATTTTGGATCACGAGCTTAACGTATAGTGGAATCAAGTGTTGGACATTTTAAGCTAAACAGGAACTAAATGGGTTTCGTTTCGGCAAACTTCTAAACATTTCATATTCTAATTGATTTGCTAAGGACATTATTAATTTCTATAATATATAAATATAATATAATACACTAAAAGAAAACGCTCCCTTGTCGGTCTAAATGGCAATCGGCAGTCAGATCTGGAAACACTTATATTTTCTCGAGGAATTCATCCAGATTGAGATGCGACGGCAGCTCGATATCCTCCAGCTTGATATCGCTGTACTTAAAAACCACCCTGAAGGGCTGAATGAATTTCTGGTCCATGGTGAACTCATCGCTGTTGCTCTTTTGCTGAAAGGGAGAGTCGAAACATGGCGTAAATGCTGGCACATAGAGCTGCTAAGTAAAGTCCCAAATGGACGATTTACCGTTTGTCGGGCATTCAGCTCCTTGGTGAGTTTTTCCAGAAATACGTTGGTCATCTCATTCTCATAGTCGTCCAGCTTGTAGGACTTCATTACCTTCAGGACCTGCGCTGTACTCAGCGACGTGCACAGATCGCAGATCGTTTGCACATCCTGTTCGCTCTTGCGGGACTGCAGCAACTGGGATACCTGGTTCAGCGGTGACAGCGATACCAGCACTTCGTTGGACTGAAAGAGTCAAGCGTTAGTTGTGGGGTGCATGATACATAAAAAGGCATAACTGTCGGGGGATCTTACCATTTTCTTGCTGCGCACCCAGTCCTCAATGCAGCCAATATTGTAGCGTATTACCATGCCCGTCTCCCACATGCAGATGTCGCCGCGCAACATAAGGCAATTGAGGGCCACGGCACAGATAAAGTACAGCAGCTGGCTGAATATCTGTTCTGCATAGCAATTGTCTAGCCCGAAATGCTGTAATTGCTTGTAAAAGTGCTCTAGCTGGCCGATCAGCTGCTTCCAGGCTGGCCCTTCGCCGGGCTCCGGCGATGATCGCGCTCCAATCGAAGTGGTGCGACCGCGCATGCCGTGTGGCTGCCGGCCCCGCTGAATCTCATCGTTCTTCAAAATGGCAGGAACTATTTTTGGATCCAACAGTCCCTGGATCTGCATTATTAGGGCTTGGTACAGATTCACGATCAGATCAAGTATGACGCGACGGTATTCAAAGAGATTGAAGTTTTTCAGCTGCTGTTGATTCTGCTTCTCGGTATTTTGCTTCACGTACTCATCCACGTCTCCGTATTGCTTGAGCAGATTAAGCAGCCTGTGGGAATGGGAATAGGGGAGAGAGAGGTGTGATGATTCGAGGAAACAAACTGCTGCATGGAGGATTATTAACGCTTACGTGATGGAGTTAACCAGCCAAATGACACGGTTCTCAATGGGATGCGGATTGCGATGCATTTTCTTGATTTGAATCACGAATTTGCTTAGCAGCTCGCGCACATCGTCATCGGCATTGGTTAGATCAGTGTACCTTGAACGAATATATGAGAATATAATACATATATAATACACATAATCTGCATCTTACCGAATGCACATGAATATGAGATACGCTGGAAATCCAGGTAAAAGTCCGACCACTGTTCGCGGCGTCATGGTGCTGAGGAGACGCTGCAGTATCTTGTCCAGGTCGATGCTGTGGAACTTCATGAGACCTTGTGGATTTTGAGACTTTTGTTTGGCTACATTCGCGCCCACATCGTTGCTGAGGCCGCTACCCTTGCTGCGACTCATTTCCACCTCCAATTTGTGCTCCAGCTGGCCACCGTTCTGGCGGTAGGCCTGGAGCTTGGCGTTGGCCAACTTCAACTCTTCCTGCACCAGCAGGAACTGGGCGACAGACTTCTGCAGTTCTCGGCGTAGGTATCGGTCGTTCTGCTTGAACGTGTCCACATTGGCGGCATCCTCAGGTGTGTCGATGCTCTCGAATATGACCTGCTGCAGCTCATCCTGTTCGTTTCGCAGACGCTCGATCTCCTGCGTCATCTCCACAAGCTTGCTGTTGTGCTCCTCCGTAATGGCCTTCAACTCGTCTTCCAGTTGTCTGTGAATGGAAACGGAGAATCGTTAAGGGTCTGATTGATTGATTCTCCTCACGGGAAACTCACCGATTGACAAGTTTCTGGGACTGGAAAGCTTCCAGAAGTTCATGGACATCGCTGCCACGCAGGTGCATGCTCTCGGGATCAAAGGAGCGCAGTGCCTGGTTCTGCTGCTGCAGGACCGCCTTCAGCTGGATGCACTCGTCGCGGCGTCTACGAACCTCGTCCTGTAGGGCGGCATGTTGGGCTGCAATGGAAAAGAGGGTGGGACAAGGGGAATGGCACGAATAAGTAGTGTAGCTGCGTGTTGCGCCCAGCTTGCGATGGCTTTTACCATTGAGCTCGTTAATCTCAACGCCGTGTTTAATGCTCGTTCGCAGCTGGTCGTGCTCGTTTCGCAATTTCTCGTTCTCTACCTCGAGCTCGGAGACGCTATGGTGTGTGGTGTGAGTAAGCAGTGTGTGGCATGCAATAATACATAAATGTAGTTGTCGTTGTAGCATAGCAACATGGATCGATCCAACGATCGATCCTGTGGCCACATTCTTGAGCAGTCATTTGAGGAGAACAATGGCTTTCACACTTACCGGAACGAGTCCTCCGTGGGCTTGTTGCGACTGGCCAGCTTAATGTACTGCTCCTGCAGGATCTTGTGCTTGGACTTCTC